ATACCACAACTTTATCCTTTCAACAGCTACTGAAAGTTAGGTGACCTAGCTGCTATCGGATATTTATATAGAGCTCCTCAAGCTTCAAACTGTATTACCCTTCAAGGACCTGCAGTTCAAAAAAAGCGCCCCTCCGACAGCCAAACCCATCTGTTCTCTGATTGGATTGTTACATTTGTGATTGACATGACATTGACCAATCAGATGAAAGGAAGAAAAATAGGGTCAAAATTCGTACTTGTAACTTGCAGGGTTTTTTTTGGCTAAGTCCACACACAAATAGTTTTTACACATACACACACAAATTCTTTTTACACATATGAAACTGATTTACAAGTACAAAATATTTATGACCACATTTTGAGCCCATAATTTCCCAGCTGAAATGATTAACGCTACCACAGTGAATAAAACTCTAAAACTTCTTCATACGGGTCGTAGAATAGACGATGACATCATTTTTCTTTTACTGAAGGACAGTAGACCCCACGATCTGTACGTTCCTAAAACGTTCCACGCTCAGCTGGATGATCTAGTTTAGATTAAAACAGTTGGATTAAATCTGAGATGACTGAACTCTTCCTGCTGGTAACACTGATACTGGAAACCACAATCAGCAACTCTGCAATTTAAGTTAAAACTGGGAGGGAAGGAAAAAAAACAAAAAAGACATCCAAGCTTACATGTAGCTCAGTCAGTACCCTTTAAAATTCGACTAGAGAAAAATGTAGTGAGGGACAGTAGAAAAATGGCAGAAAAGCTTTCTTTTACAGCACAATTAATGTCAGTCCTTTTAAAAGCAAATACAAAGAGCGCCTAAATGGGAAAACCAGCTGAAAGCACCTGAATTTAGAGGGCGTAGATTCTACGCCGTAGAAGAAGAACGCTTCACAGCAGCTGGACGGATTCAGCAGTGATGACTTTAAGGCCTTGCCGTACAATTTCTCAATTTTATTTTATAGCTGTGTTGAGCCGTGAAAGGAAATTATTTTTGTCTCCTACTACAGACTAGTAGCAACTTTCATATGTGTATTATTTCCTATTGACTGAGGGGCACCTCTAAATGCAAGTACAGAAGTATGCTAAATGATCATGATTTGCAGTGGTCTCTTGAAAATGCTTCTCTAACACTGAGTCCACAATCACAACCATAGCCAGTATACAATAGATGGACTTCACTACTGTGATTTTACCCTTTGCTTAGTGAAGCTGTTGCGATTTTTGCAATCATCAATTTGGTGTTTTGAAACCAGATGTGACGAGGTAAGGTACAGACTTGTCATTTAACGTCTCTTTATAATCACGAACACTTCAATCTAGCTACAGAGCTCAAGCTCATAAGGAAAGTGTTTACTGAGGTCACAGATTGTGGATGAGCAAAGATTTCTACATGACTGGACTGCTTTTTACAATTGCAGGAGTCACCCCCTGCTGGCCATTAAAAAGAATACAGGTTTAAGGCACTTCTGCATTAGCTCACAATTTAGACCCTGCAGCTACACCCACCTTTTATACACAGACAAGGATTCTAACCAGTTCCTGACACAAGAATAATGCCACCATGGCTCGGTGGCATCATTTCAGTCCAATACTTTTCAAACTGGTATTCTGACAAATCATCCACGATTGAATCCAGCTAAATAGAGTCCATGTACCGAAAAGGGGTCCCAGGTCCTGCACCCAACATTCAGCACAAAACAGTATGGTGCTGCAGACAGAGGGCAACAACAGTAAGACTCAACACCAACTGCCTTGTGTTTGTGCTGTGAAGCACTTTGTTTTCCACGAGCTCTCGCTCCACCACCAGACTCTTTACCAACACAACAGCAGATGAAACAAGAATTAGCACCGATTTTTTTGGCAGTCTTCTCACTTCCTGGCTGTGTCATAGTTGGCAACAAACCAATCACAGGTTTCCTTTAAAGCTGCAAGTGAAAAGAACCAGGCAAGTCAGTAACTGATGGAGTCTTTTGAAATTTCTACACTGTTAGCATCTACATGTCAAGCTTTACATCAGCCGCACCTTGGTTGAAGGGGGTGAAAGTGAAGTCTGGCAGATACCGGCACAGCTTTGCATTGCTGGCCGTCTTTTTGAACTGTCCATCTGCTTTACTGGTGTCAAACTGAATGTCACGGGTAAAGGAAACAATGAGACAACAAGAAGCAATGTTGGGGTTTTCTCTATAGTAGTCTACAGTCTTTACTTTACAACATAAAGCGCTTTGAGGCGACTGCTGTTGTGATTTAGCGCTATATAAATAAAACTGAACTGAATTTAACGTTAATCTTCCAAATCCACTGTCAAAAACAAATAACTTGCATTACTGAAAGGATACCACGACTTCTCCTTTAAAGCCCAATGCATCAACAACAGCTTCTGCTGCTTCTTTGATGGACACTTCATCTTCCTCACCAACTGGAAGCAACAGATGTAGCATTATAAGAATACTTCTCCTTAAACTGCCATCATCATTGAATAGTCAAAGAGTCATAGAGTCTATGAGGACTCACCAGAGAGAATGATTGGCTCAACTTCTGGATACTCCCTCAGGACCCAGAGGAAAAGACGAGCCAGGTCCAAAGAGTAGATGAACTGTCTTCTAGGTGTGCCAGAGCCCCAGACCACCAAGGGTTTCCCCCCCTCTGAACAGTACAACATGTAGATGAAGTCACATGTCCATTTACACCACCAAAAACTTGTAAATGCTTAAAGAGAAATGCTGGAATGACGATGGGGTTAGGGACTTAAAAACTTACTTTGAGCAATGTATGCTTTATGTATAAGACCTGGTAGCACATGACCATCTTCGATGCTAAAGTTGTCATGAGGACCAAACACATTAGTGGGAATCACAGCTGTATAGCAACGCCCATGCTGCTGTAAATAGGCTCTGTGAAACACACACAGGAAAAAAATGTCATGAGGCTGAAAGTTTTAAATGCATTTCCTGAAAAATAGGCAGAGACATCATGCGAGGGTGACACATAGCAGTATGGGAGAATTCTCAAACACTAATTTGGCGAATGTCCTGTGAAACTATACACATGCTAAACAGAAGTATACCTAAAAACTGTTGGGATTATGTTGGTCAGCCGCAAGATCATGATTGTTTTACCCCTTTGAAA